ACAGATGAATTGATGAGCACGCTATTTATTTTGTTTCAGAGCCCCAGCTTTCTTTCTGGCAAAGAGAGCGCATGTGGGCTAATGAACTGGATTCACTGGTCTCTTTCTTTTCCTCCACAAACCACCTTAAAATCTAGTTCTGGTTTCAGAGGAATTTCAGCAATATCGATGTCTCTTCTGATAAGTTCTCAGGGTCTAGGTAATTAACTTCTTTCCACTAAGCCTGTGGGATTCATTTCTATGGAGCAATTATATTTCCAAAGCTGTTATACTTCTATGGTGTCTGTTTGCCAGAGGTTAGATTGAAGTACACTTAGTGACTTAAAACTGAAATGTGAGCAATGGTGTGCAGTAATGATAGAAACAGATTACTGAAATAAACTCTGGCAATTCATGAATATTGTATTTGTATTATAAGATTCCATTCATCATCAACTCAGCAAGAGGTGCAGATTTATTTTAAATATATGTATTTAAATATATATTTATAAGTAGAGAAAATGTACATAAAGAAAACCGAATCATCACATTTTTTCAATTAAGTTTTAGGAAGTTTTGTAATTGGAAGCATTTTAGATGATAAACCAGGTTAAAGTAAATAACTTACTGAGAATCTAAGCAAATGTGGAAAGAATATTATTTGTACAATTAATTTATTAAGACTTTCTTTGACTAATAGTTTCTTTTGTTACAATGAGTGGCATTGACTTGGGGAGAAATTGTAGCAGCATCTTGGTCAGTCAGACAAGATGCAACTTTGCTTAGTCTATTGATTACTATAACAACTAAATAGATTGTTATACTGAGGGTGTTAAAAATGTATGGTTGTTATACTAAGTGACCATGAATAACCAAAAAAAAAAAAAAAATTGGGGAATATCCTAACCCTCATTCATTGAGTTTACACAGAATTTCGGGGTTAATCTTGCTACCCACTGGATGTCACTGTTGCTGCACCAAAAATATCAAGTATTTATGCATTTTTTCAGTCCCCCAAAAGGCACATAAGGAAACATCAATTAGGGATATCAGTGATAATGCTGTGAGATAGAACAGAGAAGACCAATAGTTAGGTTTTCAGGTTGATAATTAAAATGTTACTCTCTATCTTTCTTGATTTTCACCACAATGACAGTCGATAAAACACTTTCATGTTGAGACTAGAGACTTTTGTGGAGTGACCCAGAGCTATCTTTGCTATCACAGTGGCGTTTTCATCATTTTGAAGCAGGCAGATGTTCTTACATCTGTTCCTTCCTGTCCCAGGGAGGGTTGAAAGGAGTCTTGCTTGATTGAGTCCCTTTAGATATGAATATGGAAATTATATTTTTAACCTTAGTGTGACTGGACTGCTAAGTAATAAGTAGGAAAAAACATCTTTTGTTTGTGCAAGCTTTCCACTCCAGTGGTATAGAATTAATTTATATTAGAGCTGTCAGACTTTCTCAAGAATTAAGAATACATGTTTTTTTTTCATTTTTATCATTTGTTTACATCTGATCAGCTGAAATGCTGTCACTTATTGGTACATAAAGGCATGAGTTGAAAGCATTGGGTTCACAAAACAGTTATGGTTCTTAATGTTTATTTACAATGTCCAAAGAAGTCAAAAACTTGTATGGAGTTTACAAGTATTGTAAACTTGTAAACGTATTGGAGAAGATATGGATAGAAAATACCAGAATTGGAAATGAATACAGTTACCTTTATATCATAAGATGATCTTGCCTGCCTAGTGTTGACTTTATTGAGCTTTCTAACAATGCTATTTAAGTGATTCAAGGAGAATTGTATATTTACTGCTAAACTCCCCGAGAGCATGTTGATGTTTTCTTATTTCTTTCAGCATCTCCAGTGCTCAGCATGGTGCTGATCATACAGTAGGTATTCAGTTATGTTGATTGGATTGGATTTGACAACATGCTAAGTGAGGGCCTATTATGATAGAATAGTAGACATCATAGCTTTAAGGAGCTTCAGACATAGATGAGGAGAAGGCCTACTGACAACAAACAGTAGAAGAACCCTTTTGTAGCAGTTCCATTCCCAGGAGCACTTTGATATTTCACTTCATTAGCTTGTGGACTTAGCTTGTGTCTGGTCATAGGTTATTATAATCCTATATAATAAAAGAGTAATATGCAAATTGACCCTAATAGCAGAATGACCAGGAACGACTGGTTGCTATGATGCATGCTGACGACCAGGGGCCAGACGCTCAATGCAGGAGCTGCCCCCTGGTGGTCAGTACGCTTTCACAGGGGGAGCTCTGCTCAGCCACAAGCTGGGCTGATGGCTTTGAGCATGGCGGGTGGTGGTGGGAGCCTCTCCCACCTCTGTGGCAGTGCTAAGATGTCTGACTAAAGCTTAGGACATCCCCCAAGGGCTCCTGGACTGTCAGAGGGATGTCTGGCTGCCAGCTTAGGCCTGATCCCCTGGGGATTGGGCCTAAGCCAGCAGGGACATCCCCTGAGGGGTCTTGGACTGTGAGAGGGCACAGGCCAGGCTGAGGGACCTGCCCCCCGCCGCCCCTGAGTGCATGAATTTTCATGCACTGGGCTTCTAGTTTAAAGAGAAACAACATGTTGAAAGGCAATTATGGATGAAAACCTCAAATTCATCTATTTTTAAATGTTTTGAAATGTCTTTATTTTTATGGGCTTCTTAATTTATTGTCTTTGATTTACTCTTTGAAGTTCCAAGGGGAGAGATGAATCATTTAAGGTCTTGCTACCCAAAAGGAGGTCTGCAGACAACAGCTATGGCATCCCTTGAGGGCCTGCTAGAAATGCAG